CTCTCTCCCTCTCTCCCTCTCTCCCTCTCTCCCTCTCTCCCTCTCTCTCTCTCTCTGTCTGTCTCTCTGGAGAACCTTCTCCCTCCGGATTTGGAGGCTCATTGCGGCTGAACGGTTCTGCCAAGTCTTCCGATCTCATAATGCTGGCGAGGGAAATGAAGCGATTCCAGGTGCGGATGCTGCTGCGAAAGAGAGATGAATGTTGGTGGGTCAGAGGAGAGGATTTCAAAGTAATTAGATGGTGTGTTCTTTGTAACCCTTTTGTTGGTTGTTGCAGACAGTGAACCTGCCCAATTTGAACGGCAAACCCAAATTCAAATGAATTATACACGCCTCCGGACGCATTTAACCAGGCTGCTTGTGTTGGGTACCGTTGTGAGGATTTTCAACATATTAGATATCAGCTTGTTTTGAGCCAGCCACCCCAGAAAGATCAGCTTTTTGAAGAGCAACTCATGTCCAGGACGGGCCTCACAGATGTCGAAATTCATCACAAGCACCCTAAAACTTTTAACTTCTGTTTTAGTTTGAGTGGACCCACCCACCTCTGACTATGCTGATTATTTGTGCAGCCTACCTGCGGTTGAACAAAATGAGAAAGTCCCCGGCGACGCCCAAGCTGTGCCAGACGACGCAGCTGCGCGAGCTGGCGGAAATCAAGGCAGCCCTGGTTTAGGCAGGGCAAGGGATGAAGATTCTCGGGGGATGAGCTGCAACGCAGTTTCAATTGGTTTCGTACGCTTGGTGGAGTTGCAAGGATTGTTGTCTTCTGTGTGTTTGTGAATCGAGGTTGAATCGAATCAGATAAGAATTGGACATGTCAGCGTTCGCTGTCACCACCGTTTCCTGCGTTTTTTGTGGACTGTGGAAGCCTTTTCTATGATTACAGTATAGTCTGTGGTGGTTCTGGATCCATTTCTTCCACCAACCCAATGCGTCAAGATTCAATTTGATTCAAACCCGTGTTCCAGTTGCACGACACTAAGAAGAAAACACTGACATCACATACAGACTGCGCAAGGATTTTACGTCTACTTTTTGGCTCCTCGGCTCCGACTCTTGAAGAAAGGTTCGCATCAAGTTTTCGGGACAGCGGACTCCTGTAGATTACGAGACACCCTTGCTTTGTTATGGTCATTCATTGAATGCCTGCCCTCGACAGTGACTGGTGCATCGGCAGGCCATTTGACTTCCTTGACCTCCTTGTGCCGCCCCAAAATATGGGGCGTTTCACGTGACCGCGAATGCGGGGAGCGGAGCACAAGAGTTCCGAGAGCGCAAGGCAAGCTTGCAAGGTGTCTGTCGAAGTTTGATCCAAGAAGCGCTTGCCTGAGAGAGTTTGAGCCAGCAATGGTTGGCCTGAACTTCAAATGATTGACCTTGCAGGCTCTCTGCCGGTTTTAAGGTTTGCATGCTTGCTGCATCAGTGGAAGTGACATGCTCAGGGTGTATTAGCTCCACGCTTGCGAAAACGTTGTACGTAAGCGTAGAAGCAATATCAACAACACTATTTATTGGATGGGGAACCAAAGGTTTGTCAATTGTAAGTGTGTGTCGTGAGGCATTTTTGTGAAAGCTTATTCCTTCGAGGCGTGAGTGCCAAATGACCACTTCCACCAAGTTGCAAGACTGGGCGGGCCTGGCTGCGGGCGGGTCGATATGTCGCAGATCGCTTGCAGCCTGAGCCTTGGCCTGGGCTTGCGTGGCAAGTTCAAGACACTTCCACAATGATTCTCGGTGCGTCTTCGGCTTTCGCATGTGTCTTGGCCATCTGTGCCAAAGATCAGATAGGTCGAAGAGTGACGGTGAAATTCGATGAATATCTCAGACTCCTGGAGCTTCCTAACATGGTCTGGTTGAGTCTTGCCAAATGTTGCTCTGCGTATTGACTTTTGGCCAGTATGGCAGCTTGGACAATCTCTCCTTTCCGTTGATGCTCCCACTCCTGAAATGATGAACCTGCAAACTTCAGTTGGACAACGAAACTGGGAAGCAAACATTCTCCCTCAAAGGGTAACATGCATTGACACTCAATACCAACCAGAAGGAAGCTGCAGGTATAGAGGCATTCCCGTAGGGAAGGCCCTTGTACTTGCTGGAGGCACCTGCGATGGTGATGGTTCAATTCTTCATTCTTCTGTGTGTTGATTCTGAATGCCGAGTGGCAGGATTCTTTCTCCTTACTTAAATGACCATAGGGATAAAGGGGCATGTCCCAAATCTGCCACAGGCAGTGCTATGAATTTTGTATAGCAACCTACCAAGTAGGCAGCTCATCGCCCATGTGCCAAGTGACTACCAAGTGGCCATGGGCTGCAGGACCAGAGCTGGACCAACCAAACTGTCTTGGGGCTAGAGGAGAACATCACAAGGTTTGCATCGCTTCTTGGAGCTATTACGCTATTGTCACATTGTTGACATACATCAGCCTTTCATACTATACTCACCTGGCTTTACCAACCTGGCTTTACCAACATGGCTTAACCAACTTTGACAGGATTGTATATCTATTTGCAAGTATATCATGTTGGTTAACAAAGCTTCTCTCCCTCTTCTTGAGCAACTGGATTCACCTGGTTTTACCATCAATAGCCTCTTCAACATTTTGGCAAAGGGAAGTATGGAAAGAGCATTACAAAGGAGACAAAAGAGAGCTTAAAGACTTAACGCGACTAAATAAAAAGAATAGGACGCCAAGCAATAAAAGCTGAATGCAATTCACGGAACATGTTCTTGGTGAGATATCATTTAGCTTTATCCATGCTGGTTGAACAACCCACTTTGAGTTGTGTGTGTTTTCTTTCGATTTTCAAAACGTACGGGGTTTGAGCCTGAAGTCTTGCACGCTAAACCAAAGCATAGACACAGGGGTGTTCAGCTGCTGTTTTTGTTATGTTTGAGAGGATCGCGGGTTCATCCAGCTGTTGTACGGGACCAATGTTCCTGCAAAAACGCGAAAAAGCTCAGCATAACTGAAGTCGTGCAGGGTTGGGAGTCTAATGAACTTTGAAGTGTCGGAGCAATATGTGTCCCAACATTTGGTGAGATTTCTGCGATCCCCGACATGTAGGAGGAGAACACTATTAAAGAAGCACATTTAAAAGGATGAAGCTCTGAAAGTTGAGTTGGGAACAAGACCCCTCAGCCGATTAATGAGATTCTTGCCAAAATAGCACATGAGGTGCGCCGAAGGCGGTCGATTAGACGCCGCAATCAGACGAAGCTTGCAATTCTGGTTTTGATGCTGCATTCTCAACATTGTTCAAGACACCTGGAATGTTACCGCAGTGTGCACAAGCAATGCCATAAATGTATATACCAGATTCCTGCCGGATGCAGCCCCCAAAAGAACTTCGACGACAAGATCAACCCACCCAGAAGCGATCAGGACCCCCGTAGTCACCACGGCTGACGCCGCGACCCGACCGCAGCTTTCAAGCTCTTCGCACTGAAGCACTGCCCTCGGATGGCGGCTGAGTGGCAAAACCTGTCGGCGCTGATCAGGCGAGGGTTAGGAAACACGGGATTCGGCCTGTCAGGGCTCAAAAGTCAGAAAATCATAGATTCGTTGAACAGTCCGGAAAGAGGATGTTGTTTTTGGTAGACAGGTCAGTCGTCAGAAGAACACTTGCTCTCCGTGACTACAGCACTTCAGCAAACACGCACAAAAAGGCTCAGGATCCTTGTCCTTCCGTCCTTCCGTCAGTCGAAGGTGTCAGTTCGCGGAGCTGCGCCTGCAGCTGGTGAGCGAGGTCTCACAGGCACTGCCACAATGGCCAGCCAATCTGTTTTTGAATCCACTCAAGCTTGTGATCCAAGCCCACTGGTGAGAAGAATTAGAGATCATGACAATGAGGATTGTGGGTGTATTGCGCTGGAAGCATCCTTATTTTCAAGTAGCTAAGTAGCAGGTGAAGAATCCTTATTTAGGCTCTTCTGAGATTCTCATCCCTCAAGGAGGATCCTTGCATCATCGCTACAGGAGCTCCGGGATGTTGTAGACACCGCGCTGAAGAAAGCTGGGTCGACCGAGCAGCGGTGGTCCTTCGCTGATGCAGATAACTCAGGCGTGGTCGGAGATGGGTGGTGGAGACTGCAGGTGACGTGAGGGGGGAAACTCTCAATGGAGGTTTGGATACCCAGCTCAGTCGATTTCCCCGCCAGGTGGGCAGGTCAACTCCCAGGAGTCTTGGCCAAACGCAGCGAAGCGGATGGGCAGCCATTGCGGGATGGGTTGCTTCTAACCCATTTAGTAAAAGAAGTTCATGGATCCTTCCTTCGTGGGTGGCTTTTGCTAGGGCTATCAAATCTCTACAAACATATCTGCCTTCCTTTCAAAGTCTGTACATTCCCAGGGTGCTCTTTGGTCTTGGCCACCAGACGGCTTGTGATCCCAAGGACTGCCATGACTGGCTGAAGCGGCATCGGCGCTCCTTTCTCTCATCCAAAATCCTGGCCATGCTCGAGGAATCGTCAACAGACTCAGTCGCCGCTGCAATAATTAATTAGAGGCGAAGTTCTTTTCAATGGCCCACAAGGTTGGCTTTGATGGAGGAAAACGAGGCAAAGCGTTGTCCACGCCACCATCCACGTTGCAGGACCAAGAGCGGACGCATGGGATGATGGTCAACCTGCCCAGTGTGGATCGTGTGCATCCCACGCATGAGCCGGTGGTCAGCCCAGCCGGATGGGGATTTTGAGAGGAGTGAGTCTTTAGCCCTACCAGTGAAACACTTCACAGAGCTCAAGTGCATGGAGCACATGTCCACACCTGCCGCACCTATTTGGATTGTCAAATTGCCAGTAGTTGCCTTAAATTCTACTCGGTACCGCGGCGCATCCTCCACAGGCTCCTCCAGATGGACCAGCTACCGCCTTGCGCCTGGCCGCTGTGGAAGAATCCATGAACCTCAAGAACTCTGCGGCTCGGCGTGTTCAGCGTGTTCGCGGACTTGGGGATCCTTCAGGGTGATGTAACATATGGGCTGGCGATACTTTATGTGAGACTTTTCACAGCGCCACACATTCGTGGATCCTCTGCCCATTCTCACGGAGTTTGACTCAATTTGATGTGCCATGTCTCAATGTGACCTCGAAGTCAGGACTCGCAGACACCGGCTGACAGCATTTCTCGGCAGGCAGTTGTTCGGTCGGACTGGGAGTTGATGGGTGAAGCAGCTAAAGTGACTATATATAAAGTCCATTCACGATCATCTGGACAATGGTTGCTGCAGGTCAGATTGATGTCACCACTGGGAAATTTGTCGATTGTTGTTTTAGCAATGCCTATACTTTTGCACTAAGAACTTTGTTGGGATCGAAAACCACTCTGACTTGTCATGGAGTCTCTATTTCCTGACCGTGACTGAATGCGCTTCCCTTCGAAAGTGTGGAGTGCCTTGTTGGGAAGTCAGCAACCACCACCTCTGCCACAAACCAATGTTGGACAGCATGTTTAACCCCCCCTGCCCTGCTCTCTCTCTCTCTCTGTTTGTTTCCATCTCGGAGCTTGTTGTTTTGTCTGCTGCTTGGAGACCACCTTGAAGCTTTCTCCAGAGTGACTGGACTGTGTGAAGAGACTCCTCTTTTTTTAAGCTACAGCAGCTGTGTCCATCAGGCGCGGTCCTATCACTCCACTCAGCCCAAGCGGCCAACGAGAGCCTCTGTGGCTTGGACAGTCGTGGAGGAGCACCACACGATTGGGCCCGCAGGTTTCTGTTGAACGATCCGAACGATCCTGCAGGATTTGGGAGTCTTTTGGTGTTTTCCTGTTTTTTCTTTGAGAAAGGCAACAGGTAGTGGAGACCAGAAGGAGGTGGACACCTCAGTTCTTCACACCATGTTTCTCACTTGTGCCAAAGGTCATGGAATGGGCCTTTGGTGGGGAGACTCAGCACAGGTGAAACCTTACACTCCCAGGTCGGGGGATGGCGAAGACCTCGGTTGTTTGTTGCCAGCATTCGAGAAGAGCCATCTTGAAGAGAAGAAACACATGAGAGGATAGATGGCCCAGTTGTGCTTCGCCACATCTCTTTCAAGCGTGTTCGCATGGAAACCAGATTGAAGTGGCTGAATCGGCCTTTCAGTTTGGCTTCTGGAAAAGAGCTGCTCTACGTTTGTTTTGCACCCCAGCCTTTCTAAGGTCTCAAACGACAGGGCAGCGCCCGCTTCGAGGCCCGCAGATTTGGTTGATGGGGAGCATGCTGTTCATCTCCAGGGTCTCCAGGGTTTACATCATGAGCTTCTCCTCCCAGACAGCGCCTACCTATGGCCCCACCATGGCCCGCTCGTGTTTCTCCCTCACTGATGGAACGGATCCCTTGCAGTCTGTCGAGGGCATCTCCTCCTGCCGGACGAGGGTGCTGCGCCTGGTGACGCACACCGTCTTCGAAACTGCTTCGAAGCTTGGTGTCTGTGGGAGGGGGCCAAGAGGTGAGTATTCTTTAAACATGCTCACGAGTTGGAATAGGACAAACAGGAAGTACTGGTCGTGTGTTGGGATGAGCTCACATCCTTGCTCAAGACCGCAACAGATGATCCCCAGATCTGTCCGACAGAGCGGACAGAGGATGTTGATGCTCCTGGCAAATGCCATTGCCATTGGGGTGCAGACCGACTACATGGCCGTCAACCAGGTCCCCTCAGTGCCGCAGGTGGGAGCAAGAGTGTGAGTGTGTGTGATGGCACTGCTTAAAAATGTACAAAGCACCACTTTCCTTTTGTTGTTGATGTTCTCGAATGGAGAAGACACGTGGAGGGTGCGTGACTACAATGATTACGGGAAACATGACTGGACTTTGCCAGAGCCAGAATTTGCACAATACGGTTGAATACGATTGCACACGACCCGCAGGCCCTGCGTACCATGGACATGATCTTCTGCATCTTCTTCAGTGACCTGGACTATTATGGTAGTGTTGAATCTCAGCAAGGATCACAACAACGAAGTCTGTAGAGGCTACCCTTCCGGACCCTTCCGGCATCCTCTGTAAGTTGCTCACAACAGCTCTTTTGTTTGGACTCACCGCTTGGGATTGCTGTGCGGTTCGCTGAAGGTCTGGAGCTCACATTGAGGCTGGTGGCCTTCGGGAAGAAGTTCTTTGTAATGTGCCTGGGATGAAGACCGATCTGTCAGATGAGAATGTAAACCAGTCGTTGAGACCGAACTTGGAAGCGCTCCAAGGACCGGCTGCGCTTGGAACATACTGGATATCATCCTGGTGATCGCACAGGCTCCACACTTCTGATGTGTTTTTGTTCGCCTCAGCAAGTCTCAGCGCATGAGAGCACTTGAGACGTTGCGTGACCGCCAAATGATATCCCTTATCAATATTGGCAGTCAGCATTTGCGAAGAGACCTTCACCACCTGCATGTACCGTCCTGCACGGAGGTCACGGAGGAGCTCCTGTTGGCCATTGCCGGAGGAATGCAGTCCAATGCTGACGCCACCTAGCCTGCATGAGGAACCTGTGAAGCACCTCTGTGCTGCTTCTGATGTTGAACTTCTTGGAACAGGCTTTCATGACCATCGCAGAAGGCTTGTTTTGTGCCCACTCCCTGCAACCATTTGCCACGGAATCTCACCACCCATATACCTTGGGCCCTAACAGCTCGCTCATGTCCGTGCGGTGCCCAGGTGATGCGGGCCGTGCGGATCATGCGTGTCATCAAGGTCTTGCGCTTGGTCGGCATGCTAAGAATGGCCGAGGATGGCTGCCGGCCATGGGCTGTTGGAAGAACTTTTGGACAACTTCAGTGAGCCTTGAGTTGATTCCTTTCAGCCGGCTTTGGACAGTTGGCCCAAGTTGTGCAGGGATGTAGGATGATGTTTGTCCCTCAATGACCCTCATGTGTTTGTTGTAAGAAAATGTTGTGCAAGTTGTTCTCGAAGGTCTGTTTGGCAGCAACAAAAAGATGCCAACCAAGCCACAGTAATGCACACAGGATTTGCAGCTGTTGATCAACTGCCTCCTCCTGTCTCTGAAGCATCTTAGCTGCAGCTAACCTGTATGGGGAAGAAGTGATACCAGCATCGAGTGGATCAGGAATCGGCCATAGGCGGCCGTGAAAGGCTGCAATCCTCCTCTACCTGTTGAATAGTTGTTGTAGGTAACCTGACAGTGGCAAGTTCAGCAGGCAAGAAATTGTCCGTGTCCACCCCTGTCTTCGTTCTATTCCCAAGGGCAAAGATGGTTCTTGCTACGATAATTCGTCTCACCCTTCTGCTGACGAATGAACACGTCCAGCGGTACTCGGCACCCTTGTTGACAGCTCTGAGCTCCCAGGCAGTTCGTGTGGTCGGCCTTGCTACTGATGATGGTCTCTTGGACCAAAGCTGATGTGCGAGTTTTTTACATTTTTGTAGCCACAGGGCAGGTTAAGACTTTGCTATTCTCGAACTTTAGTTACTTTGAGTTCCACAGTACCACCTATACCTTGAATCTGCCACGAAAGCATTTCTAGGGCCCATCCAGTGCAAGGCCATCTACGTCATGGCGGTCTATGTGACGCAGGCAGCCACCACCTACCGCCTGGAGAGCAGCGAGGGCATCTACGCCAAGGCCAGCGCCCATCCCCCACCATGTGCGCCTGATATTTCGCTTCAATGATTTCAATGAGGCTTGCATAACAAAATACCATATCCTTGATACTAGTAGCTTCTTGTTACTATATAGTAGCGATGGCCTCCAACCTACTTGCGATGGCCTCCACCTAATAGCGTCCTAACATTCCTTTACGTTGCCGCGAACTAGTCGTAGGAAGACACTCTCAAAACCTTGGAGATAGAATATGAAGGAATGACAATGATCATGAAGTCACTGGGTCTTCTCTATTCCAACATCCACCAGTTTTGGTTCCAGATTTGGACGGACTCCTGCGAAGGACATCGCCAAGTGGTGGGGCTCGTTGTTCCTCATCTGCAAGTTATGTGGTCGGACTGGCAACCTTGGTCTCGTTTGCCTTGGGTTTGATCAGAATCTTATGGTAACCATGCAGAGCACACCTCAGACCAAAGATTGTGTTCCCTGCCTGGGGTCCTTGTGTCCTGCAGGCATTCGAGGATCAGTTCCTAATGTGCCAGAAAGATCCTCAACATTCATCAAAATTTCAGCTAGTAGCTAGAAGCTACTAGTAACAAGGGCATCGCTACTAGTAGCTTTGAAGGTGCGTCAGCCGGGTGTGGCCATCCCAAGGCCGTTGAGCGTGCTCTCCTTATTCCAGGGCATCGCAGGTGGGAAATGGTAGAGACATGCCTCACTCCAAATGTTAGAAGTCTTGAAGAATGTGAAGAGAGGATTGCCCTAAACTTCAAGTCTTTTGGGCCTAGATGTGAAGGGAGTTTCGCAATCGACCTTTTGACTCAGCTCCGCCAGGTGGGGTCGATTGGCATCAGATTTCGGAGCCTTTGATGAAGCTCACCTGGCCAAAGCAGATTTTGCTATTTGTTTGATGGATATTGTGTGCGTTGGACCGCTTGAGACTCCCTCGGACTCCTCTGGATTCAAGAACAGGAACTTGCTCGCTTCCCTCTGTGCTTCAAGACTCTGATCTTGGACCCAAGGAATGGTATCTCACCCTGGTTCGGCCTTCTCTTCGTGATCTTCATGGCCTTTTGCATTTTGGCCCTGCTGAATGTGTCGCTTGCCTGGGCATGAGGAGACATGACTTCGGTATGTGGCTAGTCACCAAGACCGAAGGGTGGCCAATACTACTGAGCTGTTAGGATCCTGGAACACCCTCCTTCCCTTTGAAGTTCATATTCTATAATGGGAACATCTCGGCAATTAATATCTCTAACATTTCACGCGGGTGATGGTTGAGCCATTGATGTACAAACATCTTTTCAAGATCCATTGCCCCATTGCTTGAGTGAGGCTCTGCGTTGCCTCCCACGATTGAACACTGAGGATCACAGGCACCTTTGTGGAGACCATGAGTCAGCAGGCGAGAAAGCTGTGTTCAACGAAGCTAGAGCGTGCCTGTGTTTTAACAGAGTGACCATACAAGCTTCATGACGACCTTACCCATCATAGCTCTGGGTGAGGCATGAAGGTACATGCACTTCTACCCTGAGCCCAAACATTGAGACTTGACGACACTCTTTACCTCTTTACTGCTCCGTCGTCGCATGGGCACTCGAGGCCAAGGATTTGCACCTGCGCGGGCGCATTGTCCAGGCGCGACGGCTCTTCAAGGCGTGGCAGCACAGAGTCGAACGGAGGAACGCATGGAGGAACTGGAACTACTGTTGACCGTAGTGCTCTGTAGCTAACTACGGCAAGGAACCAACATTGAGGCTTGGCAGTCGGATTAGAAGCTTCCGTTTGGACATATAGTAACACTGAGGAGATCGACACGGATGCCTCGGGTTACATCAGCCCGGATGAGATCCTGGAGCACACGACCAACGCGGCCGTGTGCCTTCGCCATGTTGGTAGGGTGATACGGTTCAGGGAGTGGAAGCGTTCAAGTTTCAGTGCCGGAGGGCCGGGTATGGACAAGCTGCGACTGAGGCAAGAGTTCTTCGAAACCATCGACGTGCATCCAGATGAGGCCAGGGTGAAGACAGACCTTGAACACATTCTGAGCCCAACAGTTTGACACAGGGCACCGAAGTTGCTTTTGTTTCTTGACAAGGCCCAAGTCAGGAACATGATGGGAAGCCATTTGGAACTTTGAACCCACGCATTGCTAGAAACGCCATGGGTAGTTTGGAGGGGGACATCGAAGAGTGACGAATGATTGAGTCATGTAGTAGTAGGTAGTTCGGTGCCGAGGCCAAGAACCTCCTGGAGGTGATCGACTTGGATGGGAACGGCAAGGCGTGCGTGGGCGGCGGCTGACGGGTGGATAAGATGTTTGGATTCACCACCTCTAAGCAATTGGGCACTTGGCATCCTATCATGTTGTGGGTCAAGCAAGAGTTGGTAATCCGTCGAACACCAGGACCTCAGAATTGAGACGTTCTTAAGGTGTGAGGGTGTTTAGTTTTCCTCCCGTGTCCAATCCTTTTCTGAAGCGAATGCAGGCGAAGCTCCATTCTTCGGGCAGCTTTTCAGCCTTGTGACCAACACTCCAACCTCAATGTCTCCCAAAAGTCTCTCCACGCCAAGAATTCTTCGCCTCAGATCAACTTCGAGGAGTTCCTAGAAGGATCACTGCGGCTCAACGGCGCAGCCAAGCAGCTGGGCCACGGAAGGGGGACTGCGACAGATGGAGAGCTGGGATTGATTGATCACACCGGACTAGGCCTTGTGCGCATGGTTGCCTGGTTTGTTTGGCTGGAGAAACGCAGCTTTTGCCATGGTCCATTTGGTTTTGATCCAACTAGCACCTGATGTGACGATTGAGTTCCTTACGCTAAACCCAATCGTGTGGTGTTGAACGAACACCCGAGACCTCCACTCACTGCTTCTACCTTGAAGCTCCGCAGCCGCAGGTCCTCCGACTTGATCCTCCTGGCTCGTGAGGCAGACCTCGGCCACGTCAGGGAAGTAGCGTTCCAACTCCGGTTGAGATATGGTGAGATGGTCTCCGAAACCCAAGTGGTTAGGGGACGATGAGATGAAGATTTCCGGTGGCCCTCTATATTCTCGTGGTGCTCTTGTGAATTGCTGTGACACGTTTCATCATCCATGTGACCGTTTCGACCAGCTAGAGTTTCGGACAGTAAACATGGAATTGGAAAAGAATTTGTTAAACATTGTTTGACAGTTTAAACATTGTTTGAATCTGGCGCAGTGGGACGAACCTCATACGGTGACGTCATTTGCCAGCCACCAGGTGAAGCGCTTTCACCTGGGCCATGCAAAGGACGGGAGCCTCATGGTGCTGAGAGTGCTGAGATAGGTTTACCAGACCTGCTTAGTCTTTTCTTGCTTTCCCTGGACCCAGGGATTGACGTGTAGAGAGTGCATAAAGTGCAGAAAAAAATTGTTCACACTGATCTGTTTTTCGTGCCCAACTTCCGTAGCACAAAGGGCATTTTTGTGACAGCAGTGATGTTCATTGAGGGGAGCATACTGGTTTATGAAAGGCCTCCTACTTGTATTCCCACAGCTTTAATCTGTGAGGTTTCAGTGCAGTTGGTATCCTGTTTCGAAGGTGACCTCGATTCCATCAATGCGAGCTCTCCCCCAGCATTCCCCTTTTGTTTGTGGTCTGAGGTCTGATGCAATCAACACCCGATCCAGGGTTGAGTATTTTTTATGATCTTTCAGATTTTAACTACACTCTTCCTACCTTCTCTGTTCACGGCTCCAAGTAGAGACGATCCCCAAGGCGCCTAATGGCAGGCAACAAACGAGACATGTGCATTTTTATAGATGCTTAGTGGATCCTAGTTGCACAGTAGGGTCATCCACTTGGATCAATGCAATCTGATCCACATCGCCTCGCAGTTCTCTCTAATCTCCACCTCGCCCGACACGCGCAGGAGATGTCCGAGCTGGCGCGGCTCGTCCGCGAAAACCTCCGGACGTGGGAGCACATGGCCGCGGCGGGCGCTTCTAATGTCCCGTTGAGCACAACCTTCTCGGAGGTTTGTTAAACAGCTTCGGTGGGAGCACACCGTGGGCGTGGATAGCCATGACACGGAGGCTGCAAAGGATTTTTTTGCTCGAGGTGCAGGCATCATACCTCACCAACGGTCGCTCGCGACTCGCAGTCCCTTTTTCCAGCCGGGTCTCCTTTGGTAGAAGCAGTGCCAGCACTTGATGGAGACTTCTCTAGGTGGCCCTGCGGACGATTCCTGGGGGCCTTGCGACCTAGGTCGGAGCAGTATGGTCTTTGGTCTTAGCCACTGTCATGCTTACATTTATTCGACCAGCACGGGTCACTCTTCTCAAACACAGACGTGTTGCGACGCCATTTCTCTGTACTGCGAAGACATGCGAAGACGCGCACCGAGCAGCCCCTCGGTGTTAATCTTTTTTCCACCCGCTCGAGCTGACTCTCTTTTATTTTTCGGTCGACGGGGATTTTCCAAAGCCATGGCCCCATGGATGTTCGGGCTTGACATGGCCCTGAATGAAATTTTGATTTGCTCAATCATTCTCTATGCTCGCACAAGAGGGTCAGACATTTGCCCATCTTCGTTCTCTCCACATTGGCACATCTATGGGGCAGCTGTGGCCGGATCTGGTACGGATCTTTCTGGCAGAGCATGTAATCATTTTTCACAGGAAGAATCACAATTGTTTTATGCAATGTTTCAACCTCGAGCAATGGAGGACCATGGAGTTGACCACTATAATGGATTCCAAACTAGGTTGGCCGTCGCTGCGAAGTGGGAACGAATAGGTCTTGGCAGTTTCCAAAGTCAATATTGTAATCATTGCGGTTTTCTCAGGGTTGAAAGTTAGACTGCGGCCACTATTTCTACATAGAGGGTCTGCATACACACTGCATTTTCTCGATCTCATGGGAGCAGCAAATCTTGCAAGAAGAGGCGGATAGACAAATGACAAAGCTCAGTTCCCAACTAGCAAAGATTGACGAGACATGACGAGACTGCTTCCTGTGACTGGTAGGACTGCGTTCGCAGATCTGAAGAATCGTGTGCTCCTCCGTCCGGGGGGACAGGTTGGAGCCAACGGTCGAGGGCTGACATGGCAGCTTGGACTCACCGTAGATGGGGAGGGAATTTTTCACTCCGCGTGGACAAAAGCAACCCCCCCCTATGAAGGACAAACTTACATACATATAGGGCATACGAGTGGGAAAGCAGATGATGGCTTCCGGTGTTTCATGTTGATTTATTATGCAGGTCCCCAATACAAGGTCCAAGGCGGTCTGTGGGTCATCCATGGCCGGGCTTGTGAATGGGAAGATGTCTTCCTCAGCGACCAGGATGTACAGAGGTCTGTGCGACCAGGTCATGGCCAGCTGAAAAGCCCTTCTGGGCTTGTTGGCAGATTTGGGCTGGGGACTTTGATCTGTGACCCCAGAATTCATTTTCGCACGCTGCATGTGCCAAGATGCTGCCGTGCAAGCACGCTGGTCTTTGGTAAGAATTTCCAAAAAAGTCAGTGTGAGGCTTTTTGACCGGAAAGGATTCATAGTTCAAAGTAGTGACAATTGCGTCCGAAGTGACTTGAGCTTTGCAGACGGCAATTTCATGCTTGCTATTTGTGAAGATCCTATGAATCCTGAATCCTATGTGTTGTATTGACCTGAAACCTGACACCAGGCATCATTTCTATCTATCCTGCAGCCATTTGTGCTACCGAATCAGACACACACACAGTCTAATGAGTCTAATGAAGAAGAGAGACAGGCCTGAAATTGAAAAGCGAGTATTCTTCGATCTCTGAGTTTGCGAGGCCTCTTCGTTTCTTTACATTTTCTCTTTTGAGGCCATTCTTTTGGAACTGGCTTGGGGTCGGCCTTGGAGCTTCGCCTCAGCTGGTTATTCACAACTCCACAAAAGCCCAGTGGCGTTCCAATAGCGGAAGAGAGATGACAGACAAGTACCACCAAACCAAAGAGTGTTACTTTTACTTTATCTTTTTCAGAGAACATTGACGCATCCAGTTTTCCAACCTGACTTATCCACCTCAGTGCAGTCTCCACGCTGTCTGGAATCATTTCATTTGGGTGGGCCTGCTGGATGCCTTTGCTTCCATGAGCTGCACTGTCTCGGTGAAGATTCTGGGCGAGAGGGCACAGAAGGCAGACGTGGGACGGCCATGGAATCCGGCGAACCAACAGATATGGATTGGGCAAATCATAGGGGGTAACAAATGCTTCGAAGGTTCAATGAGCGACTCTTATGCTGGCAAGTGGGTTTCTTGCAGCTTTTCGAGATTCAGGAGTAAGATGATGCATCTTCCTTCTTTGCAAGTTGGAACTGCCACGGACTCGGACAAGATGCTCAGATCAGAAACCAGGCAACCAGCACCATTGTGGACTGGGACTATTGGCTGCTCAGCTTACTCGGGACCACCGTTTTGAAAATCAACTGTCTGTCAGGCGAGTGCCGCACCCGGAGCAGCTGTGTGCACCTTGACCAAAATGTGATACAGACCTCGGCTCGAACGCCGAAGCGGAACGCCGAAGCGGTGCCTCAGGCATCGTCGGCGGCTCACCGTCGCTGGGCGGCTGGGATCCCAAGAAGTCGCCCCAGCTGCAAGGAGGGCGCCTTGACCTTGACGGGAGATGACCTGGCCCGGCAGATCTGAATCCAGTCAAATTCTGGCTCGAATGATGTTCCCAGCTTGGATGAACTCCGTTTGATGCGGATTCTTGAAGAAACAAGAAGATTGGTGCCTAATTATCAAGTCAAGCTGGGTTTCCAGTGAGTGCATGCCAGCATGCTTTGGACAATTTTTGCTTCAAATATGGCGCTGTTGTTGTGTCGTACTGGCTGCACATCTTTCTCTAACAGATTCTAACAGTAAGTTATGTATAGTTCTGTCTCCTTTAGATGACCTGTGTGGGACACATTTCCGGGCTGCCAGACACCTGTGATTTTCTGAATTTGAATTGCAAAGAAGACCTGGAAGAACAATTGCATCGGATGAAGGAGCGGCCAGACAACTACAAGTGACCCTTCCCATGCTTGCTTTTCGTTGTAGAACATGACGCTGTTTCCGTGCAGTTGTCCATGCATTTGTCGGTTTCCATGGTGCCAACTGATCCTATTTGGATTCCCTTTTCAATATGGCATCTTGGTCGCTTGCTGAAGGCGTGACCGTCTTTGGGAGGGAGCTATCAATGCGGTGAAGGAGGAGTTCAAGTTCTGTGCCTCGGGTGGTCAAGTCCTACAGAAACTATGTATTAGACAGGACAAGTGATGAGTATGTATGATAGTTGTTCTTGGAGATATTCTATGATATTCTACAGACTGAAGTGTTGGTTGAGATAGTACAGATCATTAATTAGAATTCGGACTTGTCCAGCAACAGTTCCAGGTGTCCTTCAATGTTCATTGGCCACTCTGTCATCTTGCATGGATGAGGTATCTACAACAAGTCGACACACGACTACGTTTGGGAAGAACGAGGTCCACTCCACCGCTTGCCATCTGAGGGTCATCGCCACTGGGCCCAAGCACGTCCGAGCACAGACGTGGCGACCGATCTCATTGCAGCACATGGAGTTGTTGAGACTTCCACAGGATCTTGAAACCAGCTCCTCCAACATCATCCAACTTATATTTCCATGTGAGGCCTTGACGCCGTCTTCGAGGATGCCGATGCGGACACCACAACCCGCAGTGCTGGCGGTGTGCCACCCCCCTGCAGCGGTGAAGCCACCTGTGGCAGCTGCAACGGCAGCAACAGAGCCGACGCTGGAGCTGTCGGCGACGCACAGCGTCGTGGGAGGAGGTGACAAGGCCAGGTGTCGGAGATGGATGATGGATGGAGTGAAACGCAACCTCCCTGACTGGACATGAACATTCAAGAGAGTACTCAAAGTTTCCTGGACGGACTGCTGATGTCAAGATCTAAAGCGCGCGCAAACGTCTTGTATCCCCCTTGCAAAAGGGTCGGCGGATTTCTCTGTGTCACTGCTTCATCAATTTTGGCCCATCATTAGGAATTTGCCCACCAAGTCCGTCAAAGTGAATGACCAGTGTCCAGTGTTCTCTGAAACAATGCCATGCAATGCCTAATACCCATGGTGCCTCCCAAGTGAGGGGCTCCCACAACCCCGCTGTGGTCAAAGGCAATTGAACTTGCTGATATCTCACAGCTGGTCAACTCCACCGTACACCTGCAGTTCATAAAAGTAGCTGGTCCCCAAATCCTTCTGAACTTTTGACCGATTCACAGGAAGCTTGACCATGGATCGTATGAAATATTTTGCCCGCCTAATTACATAGATCTACATAGTGACCTAGTACAATGTAATATAGGATGTTGAACTTGACACCATATTCTTGACGTCTCCCGCCGCCAGGGCCTCCTCGTGCGCCAGGGTGCCTCCTTGAGCTCGGCTGAGCTGGCCGAGCGGCTCCAGCGCGGCGCGACCATCAGAGCCCCTGGGTCTGGATTTGTCAAGCATGGATGAGATTTGGGATGCAAACATGTGGAGTTTCTGTTTTGATATGTTTTGATTTGGAGCAATCAGACAACACATGCTGTAGGGGCCTTTGGGACTTTCATGGTCACCAGAAGCCCACCAGGAATTGGAGCTGCAAGCCCAGCGGATGCATTACCAGAAGGTGACAGGCTCTGGCCCCACTTCTGGTTGGATCTCCACGCAGCTGAAGGGCACCGACCTGCTGCAGCCGCTCGCCGCGCCGCTCGCGCCCGACGGCGCCGCCCGCCCGCGCGGTGGTGTGCGTGTGGACCATGGGCGGTCGCCGCGGGCGGCGGAGGCGTCGGCGCAGCCGGGCGCGGTGTGCTGCCTGGTGGGAGAGCTGCCGGTCTTGGGTGGTTGGGATCCAAAGAGGGCGGTGAAGTTCAGCAAGAAGACGGTGGAGAAAGGCCGGTGGAGACGGTGGACATGTGGAGATTGTGGACTGCTAATGCAAACGACACTGCGATCACTTCGAGTTTTTCCCCCTGCAGCATGCGGAAGAGTTTTTTGCGCTGTTTTGAAATGGCTTCGAAAAGCACAGTGGGGTCGAAAACAGAGGTGCTACCGTCTGGACTGGCACCTTTGAAGGCGTGAAGGCCAGATATTGCCGCTCTGTTGGAGCAAATTTCTCTAAAGCTCGCTGAAGCTCAATGACCTACTGCACTTGGCCATGAAGGCTATTTAAGGGAGTCTCTGGGCATTTTCAGAACATCCATTCCATGGAGTGACGGACTGCTTTGCTGCTGCAGGTGCCACCTGGTCAGCCGTTTAAGTGCTGCATTTTGCATGAAGCAAGCAATACTTATGTTGCTTGTCAGCAAGATCCAAGATTGCCTCGATTCCAAAAAGAAAAGGAACACACACACACACACACACGTCATTTGGAGTCAACACACCCAGATCTAAGCCTACGCCTTCCTGGGAGGTAAAGGGACCAAGCAGGAGGGGAGGAACAGCCAGATTGGTGAGCAAACTGACTTGATGCACTTGTGATAGGAGATGGACCCTCCTGTAAAGTACACAATGATGTTTCCAAGCCACTGACAAGGTGTGGGAGGAGGCAGGCCCAATGCATTCCTGGCCAGCCTCCGACGAGATCCAAGAATTCGAGGTCAGCTACTCCGCTTTTTGACTGGACAACCTACTGACTTGGAATGATCCCTCCTCTTGCAGATGATTCTACTCACCAGAGTATATAAATCTATGCTTGCTTACTTGTCATCTTGAGATCAGCAGGGTATCTTTTCGGAAAGTGAGACAAGCAGAGTCATACCATCAATCAAAGTCATCAGGGGTTTCTTTTCTTCAATCACTCCAACCACTCCATCCGTTTGTTGCCAGGCCGGCGTGCCTGCGCACACCGCGCCTGGGCATGGAGCTCCTGGTGTGTGGCCGCCCAAAGTGACCCTCCCGAAGGTGGAGGCGGCGGCGCGGACGCTGGGTGAAGGCGGGAGAACGGATCCGAGGGTGGTTTCGAACAGTTTTCTCCTATTTCTATTGTAGTTTTCCCGTGTAATTTGATATGCTACCATGTGGGCTGCTTTCTTCATTCAAGATCATTCAAGTGAGGGTACGGTATGTCGAATGGCTCACCTTTCTTCTTCCTGAGACATACATGGAGGGAAGTCTGGGAGACTTGCCACAAACGAGCTGTTCGATTGTCCATGGAAGCCTGGCACAGACTGAATAGAAGTTGATGACTTCCACGACCACTAGCATCCTGTTACTACTAGCGTCCTTGTTCCTACTAGTAAGGCACTTGTTACTAGAAGCGATACACTTGTTCCTAGTAGCTTCTTGTTCCTAGTAGCTTCTTAGTCGATACCTGAAAGACGGTTGATGCCTGGACTTCCACGTTTTCGCCAGGCATCGACCAGTGGATCCCCTGGAAGCCACCAGCCAGCTGTGGGGCGGTGGAGGCAGTGATTTTGCTCTATTCGGAGATGGGCTTTGACTTAGAATATTTGCTGTTTCTTTGTTTCTGCAAATGTTATTGTCCTAAACAAAGAGGGAAGCAGTGGATGCTTCGGTATCGCTGACATCTCCAAAGCATTTTGGCCTTTCGTGTTGCTTCTTGGAATAATACGTCTGGAGCTTGATGCTGAATAGAATTCAGGTTTTCAGGTCCGAGGCAGGTTTTGCATCAAGTCCAAATGGCTGGTGGAAACTTTGGGTTCAGGCTCCAAGAACAATCTTCCATGCCTTCCATTGGCCCTTCAAGCTGGTCCTTGAGAGACTCAAGGATATAGGCTCGAAGCATTTGTGTATGCTAGCCTGGAAGAAGCATTCGGACGGCAGTAAAATGGCAAAGGATTTTGGGAAGCATTTCGAAACACGTACGTCCACGTCATGAGCTTTGCCAGCCGACATGGGCTTCGACGCGGTACAGATCAGCCCCGCGCAGAAGTCGAAGCATGGCCGGGCGGTCCCAGATTGCTTCAGCCCTCGACTAGTTGGAAGCGGGGAAGCAAGTATACCGACCGCTGCAAGCTCGGATAGGCTTTCGCCAACTGGGGAAGGTTTTTGTCTTTGGAGGGTGCTGCGGGTCATAGATGTATGATGTATGTAAACAGTTGTCATCTGAATCTGAGAGAAGTCCTACTGTAATTTGATTGTCAAATTTCCAAGTCTCTAATGCAGATATCCGCGGTTCCAAGGGCACGAATGGTGGGCACGCTACCAGCCGGAGGAGATGATGGGCAAGAGAGACCCAGCAGTCCCAAGGGCGTCCTGGTGTAGAAAAAACGCTACTCACCGGCAAAATAGGTTTTGCTTGCATGATACTGGAGGGATGCTTTCTTGAATGTTGCTCATGGCCTGTGGACCTGACATGGCTTTCCGCTGGATGGAACCTACAGCATGCTTTTCAGACCGGAGACAGTGTAGGAGGGTCTCCTATAATATGTGAACTTGAGAATCGCATGAGATGCAGGACTACGGCAAGATTGAAGGCTTAGGCTCTTGGGAGGACCTGATGAAGCGAGGGGAAGCACGGGGAAGTGCCTTGCGGTTTGCGTAGTAGATGGAGCTTACGTCCAAATCAAAGATTACTGTAAACATTTTTTGTACAGCTCCCGAAGATCTCGACAAACAGCGATTCAATGCACAACTTCTATTTGCCTGCATGGACATCAGTTTGGGCATCCAGCAGACCTACTGTATTGCTTTCTTCCATTTTCCTTCCACTGGGTGCAGGTTGAGCATTGGGCTAATTAGAGTTGGGTAGGCCCCGCCATTTTGTTGAGAGGCCGTTTTGGTGTACTTTTGCTTTTCAGCTTTTCTTTCTTGGATCGTGCACTGGTTCGCGCCGGTGACTGGGAGGAGCTGAAAGAGCTTTGCCGAAGAGCCGACGAGTTAAAGCTCAGGGTCATCGGTGGCCTGGATTGAAAGGGTTGTGGAAGAAGGTGATGGTTTGATCAAAGGACACCAACCACCACAAGTTGTCATCTGAGGGACGTCGTCCCTGGTTCGCAGGGCATTCTGATGTATTTTCACAGTCGTGTTCAGCTACTGGACAGATGGGACAGTTGTTCAGCCGCTGTGCCGAAAAACATCTTGCAAATCCAAGGTGATGTTGTCTTCAACCACATGTTGGTGCGGGGCAGCCGTGCGGGGCGCACGGGGCGCGCTGGGGCGCACTCTGACAAAGTGTATCCGTCCCAACTTGTGGAGAAGAGCTGCTCACTCCTGTACTCTGAATTTCGAGAGGAGTGCCGTAAACACGACGAAACACAGGGACAGGGATTCTGTGGAGAAGACCCAAGGTGAATACCATACGTTCTTCGGTCTATGAGCCTCATGGGGCCTAGACCCTACATGCGTGTTGGCGGGTGATCTGAATCATTATGCCACAGATCCCACCTTGATGATTCAGCGGACCTGGTGTTATCCACGCTGGCCAGGTGGTTGGCAGCTGCCACGAGTGGCGTCAGGCGCAGGCGAACCCGGCGAGGCTGAAGCAGCTCCAGGAGCGCCTCGTGCGGGAGACCTCCATGCGACTGGAGGATTTCCAATGGCCCTGGTTTGAAATGACGCTCGGACTCAGTGGGACGAAGTGTGGTGGGAATTGGTGAGTTAAGGGGACTGTGTTTGATTTAGGGGAGCATGGATGAGACGGTGGGGAGGTGGGCATGGGTCTTTGTATCGAAGAAAGAGAGACTTTGGCTTGGGTGAAAAGGAGAGATGAGACAGAACGTGGCCTATGGGGAAGTTGCATTTGTTCAGGTCTGGTGAGCACTGGGATAACGAAAACCGCTACGAGGTGGGATCGTCAGAAGTTCCGGTTGCTGGTGAAGCTTGTCCTTGGTGTTTTGTTCCGAAAGGCAATGCTGAAAGGGCATCATTATGAATCATTGGGATTGATGTAGCCTTCAGGCATATCCTGGAAATTGAGTGTCTCCGAAGTTGAAGACATTAGCCTTCAAGACATAGCTTTAACGGCAACTCCCTGACTGGGCCCAGCACCGCCTGCTGCACGTTGTCAGGGCTGGGGCAGTGGTGAGTGGTCGGAGCTTCGCTATTGTGAGCGGGTTGTGGCAGCACAGCAGAAGCATTTGCGGCTACTGCTGGATGCGGGTGACTGGGACATTTTATGCGAGGGCATGTTGTCGGAAGCCTCCCAGCTTGACAACCCTGGCACCCTAGTGACCCCAGTGATCGCACGTTCCACATGTGTAGAGAATGTGCGTCAAAGGATGAATTCATTTTGCAAGTAGCAAGAAGTGGGATTTGATTGCTTTTGAGAATGTGGGTTCTATTTGGAACTGATGTTTGGCCCACCACTCAAACATGTCTAACTCCAACTAACTTGAACCTTTTGCACCCTCAGAGTGACGTGTTCTTGGTGTTGGGTCAGGAGCAGAAGGCTGAAGCTACCCAAGTGATTTGTCCAGCGTTGTTTTGAATTGTTGTGCATTGTTTGCACAGTGTTCCCTTTAATGTGTTGATTTGTTTGCCGCGTGGATTGCATCCTGTGTGTCACTGGGGCGGGCCGTTGAACAGGATTAGTGTTTTCCCTCCCGCCCTTGCCTGCACTGTGATCCCTCCCCTTTGTTGCACTCTGATTTCCAAGTTTTGGGTGCTTGAGTTCCTGCCAAGCGTCAGATCCCAGGTGTGCGGGGCATCCGTTTTGATGCCGTGAAGCACTTGCGCCCAGCACATTTGGAGGACGTGATTTAGGGGAGGTGCTTGCTGTTGCGGGTCAAATATCCAGATGGATGGGTATAAATATCCTCATCTGCATGGCATCGCTTCCTTTGTCTCTGCATAACGAGGCCTGTTGTAACATGCCATAATGGAGCGCAGTTTCCTGTGAGAGTGAGGAGCACTTGCAGCTGCTGCGCAAAGAGAAGGTCTTCGCGTACGGAGAGGTCTTGCCCCCCTGGCTGCAAGTGTGAGCATCCAAAGCTGGAGGCTTTGTTGGGGCTTGGAGAAAGACAGAAATACGGAGGCTCAGGAAAGTGCTGATGCTGCGGTTGCGGTCATTTTTTTGTTCATCCGCAAGATGTTCCACAGGTTGCTTCACAGGTGATCACAGGTGGAATGCGCAGACCTGATAACTCACCAGGTAATTAGAATGGTTGAACAACTGTGCAGGAGTGTGGACGAAACAATGCACCAGGAGACAGGGATTTCGATTGCGTCGGTCAAGGGCGGCGGGAGCCAGTTTCTTCGTGTGCAGCGGAGTGACTTCAGCTAAAGCATTCGCCAACCTGGTTTCATTTCTCATGCAACACTTGTTGGATCCATAGCCAAAGAAGCTTTTGACAGGTAAGCGATCGGTACCTCAATGTTTGCGAGACTCGGGCGTTGGTGCGCCATGCTTTGCTTCAAGACAGTTTCGAGCTCACCCTCCGCCGAAAGTGCACGAGGAGTACATGGCGCTGTCGTGTCCATCCACAGACTTCCCTTTGACAGTCTTCATGTACCGGGCCCTGTCGGAGGCAGGGCAGGAGGTTTTCGGCGCTGTGGCGGTCTCAGTGCGTGCCCTGTGGCGGGTCCGAAGTGCTCCTCTCTTTGCAAATTTGGCGATTATTGGCGGGAGGTTGTAATTATTGTAGGTATATTGTTCATTCATAACTAACTGTGGTGGAGCCTCCACAAAAGTCAGATCCAAAGCAGCCTAGCGGACCTTACAGCCCAGTCACGAAGCATGCTTGTGAGTTCACACCTAAATTAGGACCTATCACATAAATCAATAAAACGTTTAGAGTCTGAATTATCAAACGAATCGTCTTCCCGTCTTGTCAGCAGAAGCGCAAGCTGCTGGCCAGGGCACCGTGGCCGCCCAGGAGGGTGTCTCGGGTGCTGCTGCGCGCGTGGCCAAGGCGACAGGTGAGGAGTCCACAAGCAGATGATCAGCTGATGAGCTGGGAGTTTGACTGGGAAGGGTGGACACTTGTAGAGGAAGTGCATCTCAATTTGATGTTTGCGGGTTCTTTTTGTACGTAGCAGATTTCTGGCCTGCTGCAGCCATCAGGAAGGGGGTGCCCCAAAGCCAAAGCGGCTATCTAGGTCAAATGGCTGCCGTGGATTTGTTATGCTGCGCCGATACTTCGGGGAAAGTTGTTGGTGTCAAGGAATTTCGAGTAGCATTGGCATTGATGGAGGGCCACATGGAGTTGCTGAGCGAACAAGTGCCTTCCCAATGGGGCCAAGCACATCTCTTCGATTTGCTTTTGACTTTTGGCCACTTTGACACTGCTTGGGCCATGGCTGAGAGAGGAGTGGAAGGTTGCAGATTGGAGGCCCATCACCTGAAGAGAGATTGCGATGACCAGGTTATCGACGAGTGGCCCTTTTGCAATTGCAAAAACAGTTGGGAGACCTGTGAAGAGTGCTGCTTCGGCTTCCCAGTCGAACAGGGCATTTGGATGACGGACTGGAACTCAAGTCTCTCAAATGCCGCAAAAGCTGCCCGCCGAACAGCCGAGCAGCCCTTGGTGTGCACCGTCCTGGAGGCGCTTCGCTCCGACCTTTTGCCGCAAAGTCTTGCCATCTCCGAAGAGGCCATGGCGCATTTGCTGGACATCGCCATCCTGATTGGCGACAGGGAGGCTGCCGTGCGCTGCGCGGAGCAATCCCGTCTCCGGCCTTTGCGGCGCTGGAGCTCGGATGGGATTTTCGAGACTTATTTTTATCCATGCTCAGACCTGGAGACTAAGATGAGGTTGCGTTCCGGCTTCTTGGAGCTTCGAGATCGTGGCATGCTCCTCGCGGCCCTCTCGGCCGGTGTCGAGCTCCAAGGACTGCAACAACTCCACGTGGCTCTGACTCCCCTTATTATTCTCTGTCGGATTCCTTTCCGAGTGGCTGTGGCTCTGACGGGAACTCCTTGGACCGACTTTGTAGACCTGCTGCCGCCACCTGACACTCCATGGGTGCCACCAGAAGAGAACGATTTCGGTGAATTCTTCCTCAAAGTGGACAAAAGGGGCGAGATTGGGATGCCCTATTTGTGCAAAGACCTGCTGGAAATCGCTCAGACAGCTCAAGTCCCCTTGGCTGCTATGCGTCTCCTGGTCCGACATCTGGATGATTTTCATTTGTCGCTGTTGGATTGCGCGATTCTCTTTGGGCAATCCGACTGCGCGGCTTTGCTCGCTACAGAGGGTGTCGAGTTGTCGCACGAAGGCAGCAAACTTTTGCTGCAATTTGGTGTGCTGGATGCAGAGCCAGCTCGCTGGCCTGCGGCGATGGCAGCAGCCCACGCGGCGCTGTCAAAGGTGTGGAAATCGGAGATTGCGGCCAAAGGAATTGCAATCTACCAGTTGATGAAGAAGCTTTCAAAGGGGAGACCTTTTCCAGCTTCGCTGGTGGATGAGGTGGCGGCTTTTTCGATGGATGTGCCAAAGATCATTGAGGATTTAGATTTGTGTCAAGAAGCAAGTGCATGGTACAAGTCTTCTCAAGTTTCTCCGGTGTCACCAGTGCCACCTAAAGCTGAGAAGATTTCTGTCCATCCGGAGGACGTTAAGTTCTCAAGAGGTTCACGAGAGCCTGACGCAACGTCACAAAGTCAACGAGACCGAGATGCTGAGGCTGTGGACGAGAAAGCCATGGATGCTCTGATGATGGCCATGCGCGAGAGCAGAGGTGACGTGCCGGCGCTCAATGTGGATGGTGTTCGTTTGTTTCGGCTCACTCGCATGGCCAATGCCAATCATGTTGTTGATCTCCTTTTTGATCGACTGGGACCTCTGAAAGCCTTACACGATCGCGTCCAGGAAGCTGGATGCAGTGCCTCAGCTCTTTTAAGACCATGCATTTTTTCGATGCGTGCAAGCATCGTCAATTTGCATAGCTGAGATTTGAATCTGTCGAAATATGTCGAAATATTCTTTTTTCCGATCTGATGCAAGGCGTCAATCCAGAAGACAATCCTTTGAAGATTCTCTACGTACCATGCACTGAAGAGCAGCTTCTGGAATTGCAGCAGCTTGCTGCTGATGGTGGCTTGGGTTTAATTATATAACAATTATATACAGCAACCCTTCTCAAGCTTTATCCTTCTCAAGCTTGACAGTGAACTGATCGAAATGGGAACCCTTCTGAGATAGATGACGTGTTTTTTTGCATGTATTCTGACACATGGTTGTCGGATCTGTATTTACAGGACGGAATGATAATCCAGCGATCTAGTCTCCTGTTTGACCTTTGTCTGACTGGTGACGACCCCTTTTTGCTGTGAAGATTTCAGACTTGCCACGGCCAAGGTTTTGAGCTTCGCAAAGATCTTCACATTTTGGCGCTGCAAGAAGATGCCAAGCTCATCAACCAAGCCTTTCGGGAGCTGTTCCAAAGGCTACACGTTCCAAGGAATTGTCGACCAGAGCTCAAGCCAGAGGGTCCGCAGCACAAAGATGTGGGTGCTGAGCGGGGTTCAGAAGCTGAAGATTTATCCGACCCGGAAGACTTCGAGTCCCCTATGATTGAGAGACTTGCTTTCGCCGATTTGCAATTTCTATTTGTTTGCTTATATGACAGGATTACCATGTATTACAGTACCTTTTTGTAGAGTTAGTTTCATTTATTTTTAGACTGATCTGTTGATCCGAGGAAAGAGCCAGGCTTTGCTTTCAGAACGGACTCTGACATGGGGTATCCATCGTACGAGGGCTAATGGGGGAGCGCAGCTCATTTGTACAGCAGAGATGCTTTGCATTCCCCACTATCAGAGCCATTGAGCACTGATAATGGAGACGGCAGCAGATCATGATGCTTGCGTTTGCAGTTTTGTTCAGGATAATCTGTCATCAATTCATTCTGACTTGCCAAACTGACCAGAGCCTTGAGCCTTGGCTGAAAAGTCCAGCAGCACTTGAACGGACACACTACCCGTCACTACCCATTCAAGTAGCGATTCTTTTGCTGAGGATGTAGGAAATGCAGCCAGACTAGGAGGTTGTCTGAGAACAAACCAAAGGAAGCCCAGCTTCTCCCCAACAAGCGCCCATAGCATTCCGTCACATATTGGGACCAGCCGGGTTGAGCTACATAAGTTCTTAAGGAAAACCGATGGCAAAGCAGTTGCGTGTGTATGATTTTGTATGCAACTGTTTCATTCAAGGTTCTTCAGTCCCGCCAGGTCTGAAGAGTGCGAAGCGTTTCCCGACCTCCGCGCTCTCGGGGGACTCGGTCCGCTTTGCACGGAATCACGACACGGCCGGGGACGATGGAGTGGGTGCCGGTGATGTTTGCGTCGGTGGTGTATACTGGTGAGGGACCAGTCAGTTTATATAGGGCCATCAGTCTCTACTCCTTCTATGTTCATGGGATCAACTATGTCCCTTTCTAGGCAAAAGTATGCACAAGTCACCGAGATGGTGTGGCCGCCGCATTGCTTCTTCGCCATCAATGGATTGTCGGATCACCCATGAGTCACCTTTCTATGGATTGCTTTCTTTTCGCACTTGGTAGCCTCCTGAAACAAATGCACGTAAATTGCCCTCAGTTTCAAGACGATGGCGAAATCAAAGTGACTCTGAATTTTTGATGGTATCTCTGCAGGTGATGAATCCGGGGCTTTACTACGGCCTGGGTGGCTCCTGTGTGGAGGCCATGGGTTTGTGGGCTTGGCTTTTGGCTTTGCACGATGGCAGCGTCTTGGTCTTCCCTGAGGATTTGCAGAATCAGGAGATGGGTGGGACGGGTGGGAGTCGGTGATCCCGAAATGGGTTCTTCATGCAAAAAGATATGGTGCAACGCCGACTCTTGGAGACCAACTTTGAGGTATGTACTCTGAGCAAACTTGGGTGTTTGCAAGTACTTCTATGACACCATGTGCGATCATCCACTTTTCAAAGTGGATTCCAGCCCAAACGCGATGTGGTCTTCGTGTAAAGAAAGAGGACCATGCAGACCCTGCTAATACTGCAACCAGCTAGAGCAAGGATTGAGTTTTCTTCCTAAATGTTCACCGGTGATTGGTCCAGATGAGTTGCAGAAGGCCAGTCGCTCAGGAACAAGTTGACTGAACGACCTGAATCACATGACAAATCCTGACAACCTCCTCCACCTCTGAGGATGTTTCTTATTGAGACGCACACTGGTGTGAGTCCACCATTGAAAGCAAACTTTCTGCCTTTTTGCCACGTTTTAAATCGCAGGAGTGCGGCTCGATGATTTGCCGTGCCCTGCGCTTCCGAAACCAACTCCGGGCCGCCACCAGCTCGGAGGCGGCTAATGGCAAAGGGTTTGCAAAGCACCCCTACCCATGAGAATGGATCAGATCCCTTTCACCAAGTATCTGATCAAAATCACCTGACGCTCTTCACAAGCCGCGTGGCCAGGTTTGCCTCCGCTATGAGCGCGGCGCCTCCGCGCGCCCAGCGCTGCTTCTGGTGGTGCTGCGGGGCCCGCGGCTGCTGGGTGCAGCGGTGGTGAATCTGCGGGGTGAGCCGGTGGAGGCTCCAAGGGAGTGCTAGCGATGTGATGGTAGGGTTGGAGAACATGACGAACATACAACACACTCTGTACACGGGTTTGTTGCTGTGGGTTAGTGGATTGTGTTCTTAGCGATATGGAGAGTTTACTGATTACTGAGAGGTTACCTCTGTACTGTACAGACCAGGTTACAAAATTGGTTTCGTTGAGATAGACATGCTTCAGAAGTGAGCTTGAGAGCAACTCACATCTACGGTTGGTAGGGAGAGTGGTTAGCAGAGTTGGCAGGGTTTGTATCTGTTGATAGGTGGAGTGAACGGGCAATGAGACTGTGGAAACATGTGGGAAGCCTCTGCATAAACCGTAACTGTAGGGATCGCCATGCTGAAAGTGGGATTGGCTTCCGGTCTTTCATATGGCCCCGAAGGTCGGCCTAAAGGTACCCTTGAACCCCAATGGCATCGGCCAGTCCCATGCTCATTCCAAGTATATTCAAAACCATTCCCTGGGCTCATGGCGTGGGAGATTGGATGGTCAATGGTCACGGACAAAACTGTATGCCAAAGGGATTGAGGATTGATTTGAGCCCAAAAGGCGACTCCCGATGGCCTGTGATGGCAGGTGCCTTCGCTGCCCTTGGAGCCTGGAATCACCGGCACCTTTCGCCCGGAGTCCGGGGAGCTCCTGGAGTTGGACGACACCGGTGGGGACCCGAGGGGGATGCAGGGAGCTTGTGCAGCGATGAGATGTCGGTGTTAGGAGTGTTGTTTGGTTTTGGTTTTGGACTGATTTAGGTTGATTGGGGACCTGGGGTATATTGGAGAGAGACTTCAAACGTCTTCAAACCCTACCAGAGTCCTGCAAAGAAGCAATTTCTACACGGGAACTGGCTTTCGACCAGCATGGATCGGTCACAGGCCGTTTTCTGAAGCCTTTGGTGGTACCTGGGCGCGATGCGCAATTCCTGGTGGCGGTGTGAACAAGAGGCGTATTGCTTGGATGTTGTATTCTAGACCTGTTGGGGCTTCAGATGTCAAGATACTAAGGTAAGGCGAGAAAGCTTGCAGAACCTTGAGAGACGAGAAGACACTGCTGCTATCTACAGGTTTCATCAACTAAAATCGATGTTTAGCTAGCAAGATAATTGTGATCGAGACCAAGAGCTTGAAGTTCAACCCATCCGCCTGCTTTCTCAATCACACTTGAAGATCAGACAAATGTGACAATCAGCCAGGCAGCAGCTGTAAGACCCCAAGTGACCAGAACTTGTGATTGGCGGGCTGCCCTCAACTCCCTGGCATCCCAAGTGGCCGAAGGTTCAAATCTTTGGATGACATTTGTTCCAGAAGATAGTCAAGTCCAGCAAGAGGGACACCCGCCATGCTGTGAACCTTCCATGTTCATCCAAGAACGCCCATGCACCGGGTGCGACCGTCCGCCCAGCAACGCCAGTGAGCCCAGCGGAGGGTGGAGCTTCTTCGCGACCATGAATGATCTTGGAACAAACAGAAGTTTCAACTCATATACCATATACCCCTTTTGTTTTGCAGAATCTAAGCTCACAGAAATCACCCAGGTCCGTCTCAAAGCGAACTGGCCGTGGTGGTCTAAAGTCTAAACATGGACAGTTCGTTGGAATCCTTGGAGGTCTTTCCGCCAAGTGATGCTCATTTTTTGTGGACATGTGCGAACCGGTCTGATTGAAATTGGGCGTGAGAAGCCTGAGATTTCTTTGTTTGGATAAAAGCAGCTGGGGCCATCGTATGATCGCCTTTGTTTGTTTGTTTGTTTGATCATTTCTGAAGTATTTTTGTTTTTCGCTCCAGCAGTTCCCAGCGGGCAAAACTACTGGCAAATGTCCGGGTGAGGCTGAGTTGATGTCCGACGTGTTCGACATTGTTTGACCACTGCAGGACTCCAGGGGTGAATTTGAGCAGCGAGTATGAACTATGCCAACTATGCTGACACGTTCTGGTTGTGCTTTGCAGGGTTTGCTATTTTGACAGAATACACCAACTCACCTTGGGCGATCAGGAACCATCCAAAGCATGTCGCGAGCTCCAAGAAGCTCCAGGCGATTGAACCTGTCTGTGATTGACAGCTCCGATCTGCAAACATGTTGCATTCGATTGCTGATGCTTGCTTGGGTTTCCAAAAGCAAGATAGGGAGCAGTGTTCGACAACTTTGGAAGTTGACTATGTCATGTGTGATTTGCCGTTTGTGATTTGCTGTGTTAACGAGCTTGCCACCTACTCTTGATGTGGCCTTTTGGTGACCCTAAACAGTTTTTCCATGTGGAAGTTCAACCCGGGGTTGCAAGCAGGTCAGAGTAAGCCTGAAAGGATTGATTTGATGTGATGACCATTCAGGCATTTCAGATCAAGATACTGCTGGAAGGATGGACCCTATGGACCTTCTGTGGCATGCCTGGAAGGATACGGTTCTTGGAGTGAAGAAGTTCCTCTTCGATTTGTGCCTAGCTGCTGGCCTCTCTGAGACCGCCTGGGCATTGGCTGAGAGTGGAATCGAAGGCTGCGCATTGGAAGTCCATCATCTCAAGAGGAAGTTTCACGACCAGAACAGCGGTGGCTGCGGTACTTGCAAGGACGGGCGGCAGACCTGTGATGAGTGCTGCTTCGGATTCCCAGTCGACCAGGGCATTTGGATGAAGGACTGGAATGCAAATCTCGCAGATGCCGCAGAAGCCGCACGGCAGACAGCGGAACAGCCCTTCGTCCGTGCCGCTCTCAAGACATTTCGTTCTGGTCCTGTCCCGCACACCCTTGCCATCTCCGAAGAGGCCGTGACGCATTTGCTGGACATCGCCATCCTGATTGGTGACAAAGAGGCCGCGGTGTGCTGCGCGAAACATTCCGCTCTCCGGCCCCTGCGGCGGTGGAGCAGCGATGGGATTTTCGAGCAGGTAGTCCAACGCAGATCGTTGCAGGTGACTGAGGAGTGGACAATCTATTTCAACTGTTGGAGCCTGAGGATTAAAGACCCTGAAGGGCTTCTTACAGCAATGTCCATTGGGACAGCGCTTGAAACCTTGAGTCTTATGGAATGTGCAAGCAAGGGATATGAACCCAAGGATGATCCGTGGCAAGTTTGTGATCAGCCTTTGCCTACCTGGAATTGCCTGCCGTTCCGAGAGGCCGTGGCTTTGTCTGGATCTCCTTGGGCAGAGTTTGCGGATTTGCTGCCGCCAAAGACTCCATGGAAGCCAAGGATAAGGAACGGCCCCAGGAACGGCCTGGGAGGCATTTTCCTCCAAGCAAGTGCCTTCGCTTTGTGTGCAGACAGGCTTCAACATGCACAGATGGCAGGCATTGAGTTCCAGCATTTCGGCTTGTGCTACTCCCTGGAAAAATCCTTCCGAGAAGCAAGTGTTTTGTCCTTGCTGGATCTCGCAATTCTGTCCGGACAATCCGATTGTGCAGCTCTGTGTGCTTCCACATCCATGACGCTCTCTGATCCGGGCTGTCACATCTTGCGGCGGTGTTTGACTGCGGATCCGAAACGCTTTTCTGCGGCGGTGGCAGCAGCTCAGGTGACTTGGGACATTGCCTGGAGGAACGCGTCCTTGGCTAGACTGAATGCCAATCTTTTATTGAGGCGGTTTTCACAGGGTGTGGAATTTCCAACTTTTTTGGTTTGGGAGGTAGCAGCCATTTTGGTGAACCCGCCCTTGATCATTGATGACCTGGACCTCTGGGAAGAGTGGAGACGGTGGTACCGGTCAGGGTGGTGTCGGAAGGACCTCTTTCCTTCTCCCAAATGTGAAATGAAAGAAGTGCAGATGGAGATTGACGGCCTTCAGGGCGGCGAGAGTTCATCAAAACCCGTTGATCCAGTCCCCGGAGCCGATGAAGCAACTGATGAGAAAGCCGGGGAGCAAGATGCTTTGATGCGTGCCATACAAGAGACTCGGAGCGAGATGCCCCCACTGAACGTGGATGGTGTTCGATTGTTTCGCTTAACTCGCATGGCCAATGCCAATCATGTTGTCGACCTCCTTTTTGATCCAACAGGACCTCTCAAAGAATTGCACGATCGCGTCCAGGAAGCTGGATGCAGCACCTCAGCTGACAACACAGCCAAGCAATTGTTTCCATCGTTTCCTTTCTAAACATTCCCAAACCTGATCCTGTCAGTATTGAGGTGTGGATCCTGAAGGAAACCCCGTGAAGATCCTTTTCGTGCCCTGTACTGAAAATCAACTTCTGGAACTGGAGGATCTGGCCGCTCACGGTGCCTGGCTGGACAAAGTCTCAAGATGTTTACTTTTTGACACTCGTTGTACATTTGCAAGGCAGAGTCTTTTTTTCCCACTGCACAGTGGCCTTTTTCGATTTCTTTGCTCGTTTGGAAGAGTCCCCCTGAGTTCACTCCGATCGAGGTTACGAACTCTGTCGGAAGAAACACATCTTGGCGTTGCAGGCAGATCACAAGGTCATCGACCAAGCCCTGCGCGCCCATATCGCACGGGCTCATCGGCCTGAGCTGAAGAAGGTCGCGCGGTTGAGCGCACGGCATACACCCGGAGACTGGGAAGCCGAGGCAGCTTCATCGTCGCAGGTGAAGAAGCATGAAGGTCGGAGGGATGAAGAGGACCAGGAAGGCCCGATCATTGAGAGACCCGGCTGATTATTTTCGATGGTTTTCATTTCCTTCCTTGCAGAACACTTGTTCAGTGTTTTTGCTAGCGGCAATTTAAGACTTTCTTGTTTCATTGTGTTTATTTGAGGAATATGAGAACCTTTGTTGTTTGAGAGCCCATCAAAGGGAGATTGGCGACTTCGTGAGCACATTCTCAGGCTGGGGGTTTCCATCCTACAATCCGTAGTATTTGCTGTATAGACAAGCATCTCACATTGTGTCCTGCCCTTCGGGCTAGTCAGAGCCTTGAGCCTTGTTGGTGCGAAGGCTGCAGGTGATGAAGAGATGTTTGGGTAAAATTTAATGCAGTTTATCTTTGTGTGCAAAGCATACTGTTGGCTTTTGTTGTCCTGTGCAGTTCTTAGCCATCGCTATGGCATTGTCACGTGCCTTCCCTTCCACATGAACGATTTCATTGCTAAGCTTAGTGAAGGCATTGGGGATGCAGTAGGATTCAGTAGGATCAGTAGGGGTGGGCGTGGAATCCGTGGAAGAGAAGAAGCAGATTTCAGTACTTGAAGCTGAAGCCTCACCTAGGAATCGGAGTGAATCAGAGAGACTGGTGAGGGATCATTTGTGCAGTAGCCGCAGTCAAGACAACCGCTGGAGAGGCAGCTGAAGAATAAGTATTGATACATGTTGGTACTAGATAGCAGTGGATAGACTTTCTGCTCATCCTCCAATCACAGTTATCTTGTATGAGGTGTTTTGCCTGAATCCCGACACCACACCGCTTCACCATCTTCGTCTGACCAGAGCACTGACCCCTGGACACGTCGAAGATGCCGGGAAAAGACACATGCGTGGTAGGCGTGTGGAATTAGTTTTCTGCGCCAACGAAGGACATGTCTTTCCTCTCCATGGCAATGAAGAGCTTTTGCGCCAGGTCTTTCGAGCACTGCGCTGGAGGCTTGGTGTCCTGCTGGATGTGGCAAGTTAAGCTCGAAACTTAGGAATTCCTGCGTGGGGGAATGCACCCAACCATAACCAAAACTGAGGTGGTATCTCCTGCATGACTCTGTTGAACTGCTATGAAAGTCGCCCTTGATGGCACTACCTTTTTTCCCTCTTATTCCCTCTTACTTCAGGCATGGATATCAAGCATTTGGGGGATGTTGTGGAAGGGGCAGCTTTGAAAGACACTGGAAATTGAGCCGCAGGTTCGTGACAAACCCATCGGGAGGCGAGACAGTGTGTTCCAAAATGACCGGTCCACTGTCCAGAGTTCATGCAAGTTCTCCTGCGAGGTAGGAAGCAAGTATTCCTCCCAACCAGCAACTGGAACTCATCATACCGATTTCCTGTCACCCCGTTGCTTGACATTCCCTCGAGGAGGTCATTTCAGAATATTTCAAAAAATTGAGCTGTGCATTTGGTTCATGTCAAGTGGTCAGTTGGAGTAACATGCATTCTGAGGACTGCTTTCCTTCATTTCTTCTTGCAAATATATACATGGAACACTTGAGCCATCACCTTTGGCTGACCCAAGCAAGGCCAGTCCTTGTTGTGGGATGAGAAGACCTTGAAGCGAGTTGACCCTCAGACCCAGATGTTGGTTTCCGCTACTCTTTCCTCTCTACACCCAGCCTGAATGTCGTCCAAGCCGACTTTGGTCGGGTGTGATACCAGACTGCTTCCTTTAAGTAGAGTGGGCCTTGGCGCTGCTGAACCCAAAGGTTGCAGAGGTTGCCTCTGGACATTTTTGGCTTTGTTGACTGGGGTGCAATTTGTGGAAAGGGGACCCAACAGGATCAACTTGCGAGCAAATCATGAGCGCATATTCAGTGTGGTGATGCAGTCTTGATTCTAGACATCTTTGGTAGTGCTGTTTTTGGAGCGTCCTTAGTGCTTTTGCATTTTGATCACAACAAGTATTCAGTGCACTAGTCAAGATCAGTCCAATCTTTGGGTCCAGGGAAGAAAGTGCAGCTTGAGCTGAGGGCCAAAGAAAGGCGCCTGGGTGTGAGCAGGTTTCAAGCAGAGGATAGACTATATAGGCAATAGGCAACCTTCAACGACTAGAGTGGTGCTGCATTTCGAGGTAGAAGTAGGCAACGAGAGTAGTAAAGGCTGGGTGAGTTGGGAGCAACTGTCAGACCGGCAATCGATCTCCGATGCCTGTAAAGTAAAGCAGTAAGATACTTGGAAGGTTTGCGAAATGCAAGCAATACAAAGACATACCGACCCCTTCGGCCCCTTGAGCTTGCTGGAAGGTTGTGCAAGTCCACCGGGCCCTTTGGTGGCCTTGTGGAGATAAAGGCTTGGTGCGACGCTTCAACGGCTGGAGACCAGCGGAGTTTTCCTTTACATCTTGTTTTGTTGCAAGTCTATCGGGTCTGTAGAGTCTGTCGCTACTTGCTGTGAACGGGCGTGATTTCGTGAGATCAAGGCTTCTGAGCAGCCGGTGTCACGAGTAAGGCAATGGATGCTGCACACTTCGTGTGCTACGATGGCACTGCCCAGGAGATGGTTCTTGGGGTGAAGGAATTCCAGTTGGCTAGAGCTCTGATGGAGGGCCACGTGGAATTTCTGAGCGAACATGTGCCTTCCTCATGGGGACCAGTGCATCTCTTCGATTTGTGTTTGACTTTTGGCCTCTTTGACACTGCCTGGGCCATGGCTGAGAGAGGAGTCAAAGGTTGCAGATTGGAGGCCCATCACTTGCAGAGAGATTTCCATGACGGAGATATTGACCGGTGGGGCTGCAGCAATTGCATAGACGATTGGGAGACCTGTGAAGAGTGCTGCTTCGGTTTCCCGGTCGAGCAGGGCATTTGGATGACGGGCTGGAACTCAAATCTCTCAAATGCCGCAAACGCCGCTCGCCGAACAGCGGACTCAAGCCTCATGGATGCTGCGTACGCAGCACGCCGAGCAGCCGAGCAACCCTTGAATCGCACCGTCCTGGAGGCCCTTCGCTCCGACTCTTTGCCGCAAAGTCTTGCCACATGGCACATTTGCTGGACATCGCCATCCTGATTGGCGACAGAGAGGCTGCCGTGCGCTGCGCGGAGCAATCGCGCCTCCGGCCTTTGCGGCGGTGGAGCTTGGATGGGATTTTCGAGTTTGACTGCAGACCCGGAGATGAGGTTGTGCTCTGGCAGCTTGGAGCTTCGAGATCGTGGCATGCTCCTCGCGGCCCTCTCGGCCGGTGTGGAGCTCCAAGGACTCCACGCGCAAGCTTGGACAGCTTGGATTCCTTTCCGAGTGGCCGTGGCTCTGACGGGAACTCCTTGGACCGACTTTGCAGACCTGCTTCCGCCACCTGACACTCCATGGGTGCCACCAGAAGAGAACGGTTTGGGTGAAGTCTTCCTCAAAGTGGACAGAAGTGGCAAGATTGGGATGCTCTATTTGTGCAAAGACCTGCTGGAAATCGTCCAGACAGCTCAAGTCTCCTTGGCTGCTTTGGATGTCATGATCAATCATCACGGCGATGAAACAGATTTTCTGTCACTGTTGGAGTGCGCGATTCTCCTGGGGCAATCCGACTGTGCGGCTTTGCTCGCAACAGAAGGTGTTGAGCTGTCCTACGAAGGCAGCGAACTCTTGCTGATGGATAGTGTGCTGGATTGGGCGCCCCAGTGGCGGCCTGCGGCGATGGCAGCAGCCCACGTGGCGCTGTCTAAAACGTGGAAAGTGGAGATTGCGGCCAAAGGAATTGCAATCTACCAGTTGATGAAGAAGCTTGCAAGAAACCTTTTCCAGCTTCGCTGGTGGATGAGGTGGTGGCTTTGTCGATGGACGCGCCGAAGATCATCAAGGATTTAGATTTGTGTCAAGAAGCAAGTGCATGATCATTTGGCTGGAGCGCTGGGTCCCCTCAAGTCGGACAAGATTTCCCGTCAGCCGGCAGCGCAGGAGATGCACAAGCGCCTTGCCAAGCTTCGCCAGATATGCGTCCAGCATGTGAGCAGGGCGGCGCCGCCGCAGATTCACACGATCCTCACACCACTTCATCAAGCCAGCCAGACCAAGGCAATGCTGAGGCAGATGAGAAAGCCACAGATGACCTGATGCAGGCCATGCGTGCCAGCAAGGATGATGTTCCGCCACTGAACGTGGATGGCGTCCAGTTATTCAGACTTACGCACTTTACCCATGCTCAGCACGTTTCCGATCTGCTCTTCGATCCACAAGGGCCTCTGAAAAAAACTACACGATCGTGTGCGGGAAGCTGAATGTAGTGCCTTGGTGGGTATCAGTATGATCATCCGTTCAGAAGTCCTACAGCATAGCAACTCCCTGTATTCCGGGTTCTGAACAATCCCACTGTTTACCATTCCTGGATTGGAAAGATGGTATGATGCCGCCGTATTTTTCGATTTCGCAGAGCCGGCGCGCCGCCGGACATTTGTTTCAAGTCCAAGCACACACCTGCAAGGTGTCGATCCTGCTGGGAATCCTGCGAAGATCCTTTTTGTCCCGTGCACGGAACAGCAACTGCTGGAACTGCATCACCTTGCTGGGGATGGTGGCGTGGTCCATGAATTCACTGATAACCTGTGAACCTGCCACGAGTAAGGCAGAAGAGTAGAGCAGACGCTTGAAGATCCACTAGGTGTCTTGACCAGAGCATGCACACATAGAATATACACAAAATCCTACAAAAGCATGGTCTCTCTATATACATTATGCAACATGCACGTCAATTCTTTATTCTCGACAGATGGGGCGCCTAAATTTTGGTGTCAGTTTGTAGAATCGAAACTCTGTTGGATTCTGTTGGCGCTTCGGGTTGACCCATGCAGGTCTCAGTTGCCACTGAGGCTTTGAGCTGCGCCGTGACGTGCACATCTTGGCGCTGGACGAGGATGCAGGGCTGATCGACGCCGCGCTGCGGCAGATCCCCCGGAAGCGCCGACCGCAACTGAAGAAGGTGGGTCGATCGCAAGAAGACGACATCGGTGCTGTGAGGGGTTCGGAGGCTTCAGACGTGGAGTTGGAAGAGGAAAACGGGGATGAAGGCCAGCGTGAGGAGGAGATGT